CAGCTGGTGTGCAGTGCAGGATTAAATATTGGCCTAAACACCCTAAGAAGCAAATGCAGATCTACTCTTTTTTCCAAAGGTGCTGCTGCTGCTTCTCCATTTTATTTTCTACATGCCATAATTAACAACAGATGCAAGCAGGAAAGATTTAACTTTCGTCTTGTATTCTGCCTAATTACAATTATCCAAAGTTCTCTGTGGGTCTCACCACTAGCAAATTTGTGGTGGGATCCATTTCCCCCAATAATAAATAATGGGGGGTGGTTAGGGCTTAGGTAAAGGTAGGTAAAGATTTTCCCCTGACATTAAGTCCAGTTGTGTCCAACTCGGGGGGTTGGTGCTCATCTCCATTCTAAGCGGAAGAGCCGGCGTTGTCTGTAGACACCTCCAAGGTCATGTGGCCAGCATGACTGTATGGAGCACCATTACCTTCCTACCAGTGGTACCTATTGATCTATTCACATTTGCATGTTTTCAAACTGCTAGGTTGGCTGAAGCTGGGGCTAACAGCGGGAGCTCATCCTGATCCCTGGATTTGAACCTGCGACCTTTCGGTAAGCAAGTTCAGCAGCTCAGCGGTTTAACCCACTGTGCCACCAGGGGTTCTGATTAGGGCTTAGACAACAATATTATTTTTTTATCGATCTGAAACAATATTTTGAAAATCTTGCAGTGCCAACTTGGAAATATAGTTGTCTGATGTAAGAAGAAAGGTATTTCCATTAGTACAAAAGAGCCTCAATAAATTCTCCCAATTGCCCCTCACTCTGCTATCTAGGATGCCCCATCCTCCCATTCCAAAGAGTTCTTTAGACTTTACAAATGGCCACTAGAATTAGGCCTGCTGTTGCCGACATATGTTAAGAGACCTCTCAGGCCCCTTTCACACAGATGAATAAAATCCCACACTATCTACTATCTGGACTCAGATAACCCAGTTCAAAGCAGATATTGAGGGATTTTTCTGCCTTGATATTCTGGGAAATAAGGCTGTGTGGAAGGGCTCTCAGGCTGAAAGGCAGAGGAAATGAACTTTTATTTTACTGATTTTCTAACAAATCTGTATTTCTTTCTTTAACTATTCTGAGTACCAACCAACCATTTGAAAGCAATAAAACATTCATGTCTGTAATCTTCTAAAAACTGAAAGCTAACATTTCTACTCTTGCTTTTGACAATTATTTTACGTTACAGTTCTTAGACAAGTCTTATCTACTAACTGCACAAAGTTTACTCTAGGAATACAAATACTACTGCTCCTGATCTTTCCTCTTTATACTCTGATACAACGACAAGCCGAGTCCTACTCCATAAAACGATCACTTCAGGAAATCACCACTGCTCACTGGTAGAGCACTTACCCTGGTAGAGCACTTACTTAGCAAATTCCCTCACACCAGAAGCGACTTGAAGTTTCTCAAATCGCTCGACACACACACAAAAAATTACCAATGTAACACATCTATTAGAATAGTGTGTTATCTTTTAAGATGTAAGAAACATTGGACAGATTTTTAGAGAATTATATAGAACAATTCCCCCTTCTACTTTTCATTTTAGAAGATGGGACGAAAAAATATAATTGTATTTAAATTGAAGGGTTAAAGTTGTTGTCATTCCACTTCTTCTCCAATTTACGACTTGAGTTGATTTTGTTGTTGTTCATTCGTTCAGTCGTCTCCGACTCTTCGTGACCTCATGGACCAGCCCACGCCAGAGCTCCCTGTCGGCCGTCACCACCCCCAGCTCCTTCAAGGTCAAGTCCAGTCACTTCAAGGATGCCATCCATCCATCTTGCCCTTGGTCGGCCCCTCTTCCTTTTGCCTTCCACTTTCCCCAGCATCATTGTCTTCTCTAGGCTTTCCTGTCTCCTCATGATGTGGCCAAAGTACTTCCACTTTGTCTCTAGTATCTTTCCCTCCAGTGAGCAGTCGGGCTTTATTTCCTGGAGGATGGACTGGTTGGATCTTCTCGCAGTCCAAGGCACTCTCAGCACTTTCCTCCAGCACCACAGCTCAAAAGCATCTATCTTCCTTCGCTCAGCCTTCCCTAAGGTCCAGCTCTCACATCCGTAGGTTACTACAGGGAATACCATGGCTTTGACTAGGCGGATCTTTGTTGCCAGTCTGATGTCTCTACTCTTTACTAGTTTATCGAGATTGGACATTGCTCTCCTCCCAAGAAGTAAGCGTCTTCTGATTTCCTGGCCACAGTCTGCATCTGCAGTAATCTTTGCACCTAGAAATACAAAGTCTGTCACGGCCTCCACGTTTTCTCCCTCTATTCCAGTTGTCAATCATTCTTGTTGCCATAATCTTGGTTTTTTTGACGTTTAGCTGCAACCCGGCTTTTGCGCTTTCTTCTTTCACCTTGATTAGAAGTCTTCTCAGCTCCTCCTCGCTTTCGGCCATCAGAGTGGTGTCATCTGCATATCTGAGGTTGTTAATGTTTCTTCCAGCAATTTTCACCCCAGCTTTGCATTCATCCAGCCCCACACATCGCATGATGTGTTCTGCATACAAGTTAAAAAGGTTGGGTGAGAGGATGCAGCCTTGCCGTACGCCTTTCCCAATCTTGAACCAGTCTGTTGTTCCGTGGTCAGTTCTTACTGTTGCTACTTGGTCCTTGTACAGATTCCTCAGGAGAGAGACAAGGTGGCTTGGGATGCCCATCCCACTAAGAACTTGCCACAATTTATTATGATCCACACAGTCAAAGGCTACAACAGTTTTAAAAAAGTTTAAAATTAATCAAATACAAAAGGTTTAAAAAGTGATGGGACTGCTAAAAAATCAATTTAATTAAAAACAAAAAAAATAGCACCCACCCTATCTAAACAAACAGTTCTTAATGGTGTTTTCTTCTATGGAAAAGTTTATTTTTACTATACACTACTGTGGTAGTGTTAAAAATTTCTTTTCCAGGATCTGCCCTCAACCTATCAATAATTTCCGTGACAGCCCATAGTTACTTAGTTTGCCTTGAGATAATTCCAGGATAACTGCTCTTAACAGGAAAACTTATTAGATCATCAAAAAAGGCCAAAAAGCACTCTCTCTGGGCCACACTGTGTTGCAATACTGCAGTGCAAAGATCCCCCCATAACCTGAAAGTTTTCATATCCCACTATTTTGGTTCAATAGACTAAATCTATTCTGTCCCCCCCACCCCTTTTCCTGGGACCAACAATGGCAATGCCTGCACTAAGTGATCCAATTATCTTAAGAAACAATACCTTTTGTCACATTTAGGATGACTCATCTTAACTTCTCAATAGACTCATGTCCAGAACTCCTGGGAAGAAATGTACTGAGTCACACCCTATTTCTCCAGTGAAATGTCATTTTCAGACCTGACTGAACAGCTCATTCAGCACATTAGGATCCGCAAGATCAAGATAAGATAAACTATTTCTGTGAGAAAGAGCTTCACGTGCCCATTCAATGAAATGCAGCTTGATTCCTAAAAAAAAAAAAAAATCACTTCCACCCCAAGCTCCCAAGAATGCCTAAGCGGCATCTGTTTATATGCACACACAAATATAAAGGACTAAAAGAGGAAGGAAACTATGAGAAAATGGGGAAAAGTCAAACCAGACTGCATTTAAGCCACTGGCATATGCAATTCATTTTCTAGTTACGCAATTTTCCCCAGGGATACAGCCTGCAGTCCACATGCGGGATCAAATTTCATGAGCAGTCATAGGAAAATGCAAGGCCTGTTCATTTGCAAGTCAAAACCCGTGAAGGCAAGCACACTCAGGCTACCTTCACACATTTTTTCTCATGAGAAGGTCTAGCTGCAGGCAACAAGTATTCGCCAAGGTACACGTAAGAAAGACCAGCAGAGGTCCCACAATAGGTAAACTCTTCCACAGCTGAGCCAGACCCAAATGGAATCCAATGGGACCAGAACAACTGCAAACATGCCAAGGCACAAAACACAAACATATCCACCAGCTCCTGTTTCTTTTTAATATATATATATATATATACAATGTGCAGGTCATAGTTATCTTCGGCAGTTTGGCTGGAGTTCTCATACAAGCCAAGATTTCTTTTGTTAATTCAATTTCCTGTTCCAACGGAGTGAGTGGCATTTCGGAAATTTGCATTCCACAGCAGGCACGCTCATCTCCCCAAGGCAGGGGTTATCAGTGCTAGCCGCGGGATACATTTGAATATAGAACAAACAAAATCTCCCTGGCACAATGAACGCTGCAGATACACCCCCTCTAGTCTCCACCAGCTAAAGCAGCGTTTCTCAACCTGGGGATCGGGATCCCTGAGGGGGTCGCAAGGGCGTGTTAGAGAGTTGCCAAACCATCAGAAAATAGTATTTTCTGTTGGGTTCTGTGTAGGAAGTTTGGCCCAGTTCTATCGGTGGGGCTCAGAATGCTCTTTGATTGTAGGTGAACTATAAATTCCAGCAACTACAACTTCCAAATGTCAAGGTCTATTTCTCCCAAACTCCCCCAGTGTTCACATTTGAGCATACTGAATATTTGTGCCAAGTTTGGTCCAGATCTATCATTGTTTGAGTCCACAGTGCTCTCTGGATGTAGGTGAACTACAACTCCAAAACTCAAGGTCAATGCCCACCAATTTTCTGTTGGTCATGGAAGTTCTGTGCGCCAAATTTGGTTTGATTCCATTGTTGGTGGAGTTCAGAATGCTCTTTCACTATAGCTGAACTATAAATCCCAGCAACTACAACTCCCAAATGACAAAATCAACCCGCTCCCCAACCCCACTAGTATTCAAATTTGGGCGTATTGAGTATGTGTGACAAATTTGGTCCAGTGAATGAAAATATATCCTGCATATCAGATATTTACATTACAATTCATAACAGTAGCAAAAATACAGTTATGAAGTAGCAACAAAAATAATGTTATGGTTGGGGGTCACCACAACATGAGGAACTGTATTAAGAGGTCGTACCATTAGGAAGCTTGAGAAACACCGAGCTAAAGGCAGCTGAAGCAATCCATTGCTTACCTTGGCCTGGGCTGCATCTCCCCTCTCAAACATCATCTTTAGCCTGCTCAGAGGAATGCTACATTTCTCTATCTTCCCTGAAGAATCTGGGTTCTCATTGGCCTCGGGCTTTCCGGCTTCTTGCCTGGATTCTAGGAGACAATTTTCCATTTTCCCACTCTCCGGCAAATGAGCTTTGGCCTCTCCGCTGTCAACACTCAGATATCGGAACTGGCCAATCACTCCGGAAGAGGAATGGAGACGTGATCTGGAGCCAATCCCGGAGGCTTTGTCGCTTTCTGCCGGGGAAGCAGAGCTGGTTGCAATGCCACCGGCGCTGACAGCTTTCTGCCGAACCTCTGAACAGTTGCTTCTCTGAAGCGTTTCCTTCCGAGGCTCGGTCCCCAGGGCCGGAGTCTCCCACTTCTTCTTCAGGACGCTGAGGGTCCCCCTTTTAAAATGTGGAGGGAGGTTTTCAGTGTTCTAAAAAGAAAGAATACAAACACAGAGACCAGATGTTAAAATTGGTCATGAAAGCTTAGGGAGAGAGCTGAAAAGGGCTTCCTTTCCTGAAGAAAGGAAGTCAAAGGCTGAGCGCCAATCCTGAGTGCTCTGCTCTGCTCTTTCCGACAGCTGTGAATAGTTACAACTGTGCCACATGGAGAAAGCCTGAATTCAGGGGTAAGGAAGGGAGAGAGAGGGAAGGAGAAAAAGGAGCTGAAGCAGGAAGTGAGAAAACAGGATGGCCTTATAAGGAAGAATGGGAGTCAGCCTCAGGGAAAGGGAGAACCAAAGGGAGGAAGGGAGAGCGGGAAGGGGAATCAGGACCTAGACTTTTGTCTCAGAGCCCTGCACAAAGGAAACAAGCTCCATCCAGACTAGGAAAAAGTGGGGAAACCTTCCAAGAGGGTGATAGCCACAGGCAGCAGGGTTCCCCATCTGTTCCACAAGGCGCCGATTAGCAGGCTGCTCAAGAAACTGAGGATTAACCCTCAGAGAACAACTCCCATATGCATCTTTATGAGCATTTTTGGCAACTTTGAACTGAACTGTCTCTCTCAATGAGAAATTCGATTTCTTTCCCTCCCTTGATCTGATATGATTGCATGCACATACCATTTCCTTACTTAGATCACTGTTCAAATCTTTGTTTTAAAGGGACTTTCCTATTCAAAAGAACTGCCACACCTTGAGCAATGTGCCCCAGACAAGGGACAAGCTTTTCCACTTATTCAACAGCCCATCCCCACAATTTTCCTAAACAAGCCATTCAAGAGATTCAAATAGGATACCTGCCAACGCTGCATCTTCGCAATCTGTCCCTTGGGTATCCTACCAAGCATGAGACTAACTGCAAAGTGGAGCAGGTCTGTCAAGCTTTAGAGTATTAAATGGGATTAGTAGCTATATTAGGATTTAAGTCTCTCACCCTATTACTCTTCTGGCCACATTTTGAATACTGCCTTGCAAATTAATGGAAATCCCACCTAAGCTAAAGAAATATTAGTTCCTTTGCTCAGTTTCAACCCTGAGCTCAGATTTGCAAAGGAATCGGATCCAACAGTAATAGAGGGATGTAGTGGTTTGAGCACTGGACTAAGACCCAATTCCTCCCTCAGGCATGGGAAAGTATTGAGTGACCTTGGGCAAGTCACACTCTCTCAGCTTCAGTATGAGCCCCTGGTGGAGCAATGGGTTAAATCCTTGTGCTCGCTGGACTACTAACTGACAGGTCAGTGGTTTGAATCTGGGGAGAGCAGGTTGAGCTCCCTCTGTCAGCTCCAGCTCCCCATGCGGGGGACATGAGAGAAGCATCCCATAAGGATGGTGAAACATCGAAAATATCCAGGCTTCGAATCTAGGGAAAGTGGGTTGAGCTCCCCTCTGTCAGCTCCAGCTCCTCATGCAGGGACATGAGAGAAGCCTCCCACAACTATGGTAAAACATCAATTCTCTCACACCAGAAGTGACTTGCAGTTTCTCAAGTCACTCCTGACACAGGAAAAAAGGGAGGCAAAGGCAAACTCCTCCTGAACAAATCTTGCCAAAGAAAACCCTTAGTTGGAAACAACTTGAAGGCACACAAAAATAAAGAAAGGTGACCTGAGATGGCATGCACATACACAAAAGGAACATGGAGAGGAGAGAAAGAGAGAGAGAAGAAGGAAGGAAGGAAGGAAGGAAGGAAGGAAGGAAGGAAGGAAGGAAGAGGAAAGAACTGCAGGAAGAGGAAAGCATCAGTAGTGAAGCTACCTCAAACACTCTGGTGATCCCCTGTAACATAGAGGCTTGATCTTCACACGGCACACCATGACTCATCCTGTACATGGGTTCCTGTGTACTCACTCGGATGCCCCACTCAAAGCATTGAGCCAGCATTCCTTTTCCTGTTGCCTCTGTAGACAGATGGCCTTCCCCACTGTTCATCATTCAAGTGTAAAACTTTTCCCAGTCTGAAACTTTAAAAGGTTAGGGTGTTGTGTAGTTTCCAGGCTGTACGGCCATGTTCTAGCAGCATTTTCTCCTGACATTTCGCCTGCATCTGTGGCTAGCATCCTATAAGATGCCAGGCATAGATGCAGGTGAAATGTCAGGAGAAAATGCTGCCAGAACACAACCATACAGCCCAGAAACCACACAACGCCCCAATGATTCCAGCCATGAAAGCCTTCGAACTCTCAAAAGTTCTTTTTCTCGACTCTAATAAAGGTAAAGGTTTTCCCCTGACATGAAGCCCAGTTGTGTCTGACTCTGGGGTGTGGTGCTCATCTCGATTTCTAAGCTGAAGAGCCGGAATTGTCCGTAGATGCCTCCAAGGTCATGTGGCCAGCATGACTGCTTGGAGCACCGTTACCTTGCTGCCGGAATGGTATCTATTGATCTACTCACATTTGCATGTTTTCAAACTGCTAGGTTGGCAGAAGCTGCTACACAGTGGTACGATTCTATATAATATGTTGACAGCGGAAGCTCCCCGGTTTTGACTCTAACTACCCAGAATTCTCCACCCCACCCCATGCCACTCACCAGTACAGCCAGTAGCTGTGCTGCCTGTCTAGATGACTGTGGGTTTCATAGTAACACAAATTAGAACTGCTGCCATCCCTGGTGACTATCATAGCAACCATCCAATTTTATTACTGCATCTTACTTTGGGGTAGAGTCAGACCCATTTGTTTCCTTTTAAACCCAGTGACTCAAACACAGGCCAAGGAAAGCTTGCAAGAGAAGCTGAGCATGATAACAATCAAAAGCGGGGACAGAAAGTTTCCCAAGGCTTTGCAAATTAAAGCAGTGTCATCTTCCCCAGAGAGCAATCAGTCCCAGTACACAAATACCCTTGGTTAGTCAGACAAGACACAAGCAGAAGCCTGGGTAAGGATATGTTGCAAGAAGCTCTGGCTCAGTGGCACCAACCCTAGGCCTCCGGGGAGAAGTGCATGAATGAAAGGGAGTAGAGCAGACCATTATCAGAATCCTTCCTCAGCAAAACCTCTCAACTCCCTACATTAAGTGTCTGCTCTCACAGGTCCTCTTTGTGAGCAAAACATGATTGCGGGCTCATGTTTACATGTAAAAAAGATCTAGGACAACATGGACAACAAGTTAAACATGAGCCAACAATGTGATGTGGTAGCTAGAAAGCCAATGGGATTTTACCCTGCATAAATAGGTGTCTAGTGTCTTGATCTAGACACTAGACACCTATTTAGCCATGCTACTCCTCTAGTCTGCCTTGGTCAGACCACACCTGGAATCACACTGTGTCCAATTCTGGGCACCGCAATTGAAGGGAGATGTTGACTCTTAGCTGGAATGTGTCCAGAGGATCAAGGGTCTGGAGAACAATCCCTATGGCTATCGGCTTAAAGACTGGGAATGTTTAGTCTGCAGGAGAGAAGGCTGAGAGGAGACATAATAGCCATGTATATATATGTGAGGGAAAGTCATGAGGAGGAGGGAGGAGGGAGCAGGATTGGGAGCAGTGAGGGAAAGTCATGAGGAGGAGGGAGCAGGATTGTTTTTTGCTGCCCTGGAGACTAGAACAGGGAACAATGGCTTCAAATGACAGGAAAGGAGATTCTACCTGAACATGAGGAATAACTTCCTAACTGTGAGAGATATTCATCAGTGGAACTCTCTGTCCTGGAGTGTGGTGGAGGCTCCTTCTTTGGAGGCTTTGAAGCTTGGTGGGGATGAGGGACAGGGCCTTCTCAGTGGTGGCCCCTCGGCTGTGAAACTCCCTTCCTGGGGATATTAGATCGGCCCCCTCCCTCCTGACCTTTAGGAAAAGAGTAAAAACCTGACTCTTCAAGCAAGCTTTTGGAACTCCATTGTAACCAGATAAACTCAGTATTGTGAACAAATATGGAATGGTTTAACGATCCAAATGGACATGGATTTAAACCTGGAAGTCATTGTTTTTATAGTTTTAATTGTTGTATATTAATTTTATTATGTGATTTAACCTGTTTTAAACGATGTATTTATGTGTGTTCAGTATCTAATTTTTGCCACTCTGAGTTGCCTTCAGGCAGAAAGGGGCAGGATGAAAGTGTGGTAAATAAATCAAGAAATAAATTCTGTGATGGGTTTTTTGTTGTCTCTGTGTGCCTTCCAGTTGTTTTCAACTTACGTCAACCCTATCATTTATTTATTTACAGTATTTATATTCTGCCCTTCTCACCCCGCAGGAGACTCGGGGTGGATTACAATGTACATATACAGGCAAACATTCAATACCATAGACACACAACACATATAGACAGACAGTCAGAGGCTATTTAACATTCCAACTTTTTCTGGCCACCAGGGGAGCTGTCGCTTCACCGTCCATCTGCGACACTGATGAAGTACTTCCTCATTTCCTGCATGCTTGCTAGAGATTTTTTATGGCCTAATAAATTAATTAAATTAGTCTCCCCACGTAAGTAGTACATAATTTTCCTACTTGACAGATGCAACTGTCTTTCGGGCTGCAAAGGTCGACAACAAGCTACCCAAATTGGCCGGAAGCTCACTCCGACCCAGGCTGGCTTCGAACTCATGACCTTTCAGTCAGTAGTGACCTTAATGACTCCCAGCCAGCTGCACCACAATCCTGGAGCAGGGGATTTTCTAGGGCTAAAAGTATGTGACTTGGCCGAGATCACCCACTGGGTTTTCATGACTGAGCAAGAAATCAATCTTTGATTTCTAGAGTAGTAGCCCACTGCTCAAACCATCATGCCACACAAATTAGGAAATTCTAATTCATAAGCAATGAAAAAGAACAAATAACAAGGGATGTGTGGGTTTCCACAGTGTGTCTTATTCAAGAAGTGCTTATTCAGGTAGTGTGGCTTAGTGATTAGAGCAGGCCTGGGCAAACTTGGGCCCTCCAGGTGTTTTGGACTTCAACTCCCACAATTCCTAACAGCCTACCGGTTGTTAGGAATTGTGGGAGTTGAAATCCAAAACACCTGGAGGGAAGGTCGAAGTTGGCCCAAGCCTGGATTAGAATGTTTGACTGGGAAAGATAGTTATTTCCACTCTTTTCCAAAACTTTTGGCTCTCTCCTTTTTCCTCTGTCTTTTATGTATGGCCGTCCTGACAGTTTCAAGCCTTTGCTCTTGCCTCTACTCCTAAACAGACCTCTTAAGAGTCTAGTGAGATGTGAAGATGACTACAAAGACAAATGTTAGGAATGCTAATCTCCACCTGTCCCCTCAAGGGCAGGTAGATTGAAATACTGATTTAGCATTATTTCAAGATATCTTATTAAAGGCATTCCCTTTCTCACCTCCTCAAAAGAGTGCCACACCCAGGGAAGTGATTCTAGGCAGAAGACTCCTGCTGCGAACATTTAAAAGTCACCATGCAGCCATTTTTTTTCTCATATGCTTTCTCTAGAAAGATAGCTTAAGCTGTAAGACAACTTGAGAGTCCCAGGATAGGACAACGTGGAGGTTTCTCACTCAGAGGAGGGTCATCAGAAGTTGAAATTGACTTAACAGCAGCTAACAATAGTGGGGTTATAGTTTGTCTTACACAGGGCAAACAAACCATACATAGCATATAATACAGCATCCACTGACCATTTCTATATTTCCCTAACTGTCCTGCCCAGTTTGCTAAAGTTATGAAAAGTACCTTGTTTAAAAGCAAAGACAGGACTTTGCACCACAAAAAATTCAGCTGTGTTGGAGGAGTGCAACCTCTAGCACAGTGGTTCTCAACCTGTGGGTCCTCAGATGTTTTGGCCTTCAACTCCCAGAAATCCTAACTGGCTGGGATTTCTGGGAGTTGTAGGCCAAAACACTGGGGGACCCACAAGTTAAGAACCACTGCTCTAGCATTTTCAAGTATGCCTGTGTGGCTTTTCAACACCTCAAAACCAACCATTCTGGACTTCTGCCCTTGTTTGAGGATAAGAAGGTAGTTTTCAATGTCCAGATTAGGCAAAACTAGACTACATCTGTTTCAGTTGCAAAGCTTAGAAGAGAAAAGAAAAGGCAAGAAACCTGAACAGCTGCCTTTACTTCAGAGCATAGAGAAGTCTATTCATGTTTTGAGGTTAGGATAAAGGACATGAGCTAGTATTTTGGGCTTGAGAAACTGAAATAATGAGTCAGTGCATGACTTCAGGGAAGTCACTTGACTTTCTTATGCTTCAATCAACCCCTGAAAGAAGGAGAAAGTGGGTCAGAAAAAGGTCCAGACTGAGTTTTAAAACGTAACTTTTTGGACTGCAATCCCAATAATTCCCTGTTAAGGAGCCTGGGAATTGTAGTTCCTTAGAATCATAGAATCATAGAATCAAAGAGTTGGAAGAGACCTCATGGGCCATCCAGTCCAACCCCCTGCCAAGAAGCAGGAATATTGCATTCAAATCACCTCTGACAAATGGCCATCTCTCCCCCTCCCTCCCTCCCTCCCTCCCTCTCCCTCTCTCTCTCTCTCTCTCTCTCTCTCTATATATATATATATATATAATTTCCAGGCTTTGTGAGTAACCAAACTAAAACAAAAGCAAACATTTCCCAGCCAATGCTGAATAAAAAAAGTCCAGACAGATTTCTTGGAGAAACGTAACAGCAGCTGCCAAGGAAGACAGAGAAACTGAGATGTTGGTGTACTATTCACATTGTTATTCATTCCATTCAAAATCTTTAAATACTTACACTTCTTTTTTTCTCCGCAGCTCCTTCTTCTGCTGCCTTCTGATATCTTTACAGAAAGGGGAAAGAAACAGGGTGGAAAAAATAAGAGAGAAGCTTTAATTTGAATTCCATTTTTTTCCAGTGCAAAGTTTAGAAGCATTTCAAAAAAAGTATGTATAGAACATAAAGTGGAAACTTATTGCCTTCCACACAATGGCACCCATTATTATGGCATGAAGGTCCATAGAGACAGATTAATTATGGCATGCATTTACACAGACTAAGGGCCAGTCCATATTCACTCAGAGTAATCCTCAGTTGCCCGATAGATCCACATACGCACATGAACAGCTGGGGAGATGGGGTACAATGTAAGCCAACTGAGGAAGCACTACTTGGATCTGATTAACATTTTAATCCAACTAAAGATAATGTCACTATACATCTAATTGCTTTCAAGATGCCATAAGACACGAAGTTAATTTTACTTTAACAGACGACCTCGCACATTGTTATCAGCACGTAATTCCCTTTGGTCTCGCATATAATATGCATGGGGCATTCGCATTCCTGCAAATCAGAGCCCCCACCCTCCAAACATAGAGGAAGAGAAAACTGTGTGAGAGAATTTTTTCCAGGAGGGCTAAACCTACTGAGCAGCAAGTAGGAGGGGGAAGTCAGTAATATTTTATGGGGCCCCGTTTGTGATATCTGGTTATTTAATATCTCAGAATTCATTCATAGATTTCTCCACTCACTCTCTCCTTGGGCTAACAGAAGCCAGCATCAAAAAGCTGGTCTTTTCTCAAGACAGAATTAGTAATAATAATAATAATAATAATAATAATAATAATAATAATAATAATCTTTATTTATATCCCGCTACCTTCTCCCCAGAGGGGACTCGGAGCAGCTTACATGAGGCCACCATGAAAATCTTAGGCTCTATTTGAGTACCATCCATGACTGACAGGCAATTCAGTGCAGATCCAACACACTTCCATTGTTTTGGGGAGAAGGAAGGGGGAGTATGAAAGGACAGTTTATTTTCTTATTCAGATAATGGCAGGATAGTGGTTGTTTGGGCTTCTTTTTTGGAGGTATGTTTTTTCCATTGAAGAAGTTGCATGCTTCATTTATTTATTTATTTATTTATTTATTTATTGCATTTATATACCACTTTTCTCTCCCTGAGGGGACTCAAAGCAGTTTCCAACATAATAATGGCAAAATTAAATACCATACATACACGTGAAAACTAAAACATAATAGACGGACTATAAGATATAACTATAAATTAAAAACCTATCCATATTAAAATATAAACCCAAAAAATTAGACATAAAACATAAAGTTAAAACATTAATAATACAATAATACAGTAGAGTCTTGCTTATCCAACATAAACTGGCCAGCAGAACGTTGGATAACCAAAAATGTTAGATAATGAGGAAGGATTAAGGAAAAGCCTATTAAAGGTCAAATTATGACCTGCGTTGGCTGAGCGAAGGCTGGATAAGAGGGACTCTACTGTATTTGTATTAAAACCCATCCATTAAACAATACAATTTAAAAACAGTTATTAAAATTACTTAATGGCAGAAATTCAATGCCAACATACAGTACACAAAGAAAGCATAATAACTAATTACTACATATAACAATGAAACTTAAAATCAATTAAAACTATTAAACATAAGACATACATAAGATTTAAACATTCAGACAAAGCATAAAATTAACCTAGTATAAACATTAAAATCCCATGATCCAGAACATAGCCATTCCGCATTGTCATTGCACATGTTACTTAATTATTCTTAAGGTGGATGTGGCCCTAGATGAAAATGAGTTTGACACCCCTGCACTATAAAAACAAAACAAAAAAATGCAAAAGAGGTTCTTGTCTGTTACATGTCAGTGATCTCCCCCTGTTTCAAAGGAGAATCATCTACCAGGAATATGATTGCCAGGAATCGGCTTGGAAGAAGGAAAAAGGCCCGTTCTACATTGCCATATAAAATCCAAATTACCATATTTGAACTGGATTATATGGCAGTGTAGACTCACATAATGCAGTTCAAATCAAAACATGTGGATTATCTGCCTTGATCATCTGGATTATATGGAAGTGTAGAATAAAAACAACAAAGAAGAATCCTGAAAGATTGGGACAGGGCATGTATTTCAGTTCAATAATGCAAATCTAGGAGCAGGTGAAGCACGTCTGAACATCTGGCTGTGCGTCTCTGCTGGCTAAACCTTGTTTATCCTCTTCTAGAACAACGAAGGGCAGGGCTACCTGCTTACAAATTGTTAATTGATTCCTATACCATTTTTATACCAAGGAGAGGCACAGGATTCTCTGCCTTAGGTGTCAAAGTAATTTGGCCAGCCTTGGTGTGATCCACCTTGACAGGGTGTGCACCCACTTGTTTTTCTGCTTCAAGCAGAAAGTTGCCTTGGGCCAGCCTTGTTTAGGAGCCGAGCTGCAGCAAATAGGAAACACGTTTAAAGGATTCATATTGTCATCTTTCTTGAGCTTGCACACCACTCAATTAAAACTAATTAGAACAATTAACATCAATTAGATGACGTAGTATCTTCATCAAAACATTATAGCAGAGACAACTCCAGCGAAGAAGATGAGATATCAGAAGAGAAATTACCTACCTAGTACAAGAAAAGCCCGCTGGCATACAAATGTTTGGGAACATAGCAAGAGCATCAATTGAACCCCAAAGAGCAAAAAACTCCATGGTGGGCATAACCACTGAGAAGTTTCTTTATATTTTGGAAACCAGTGAAGCAAGGAGGGGATTACCATATAGAAGGAAAAAGTATCACTAAGCATCAGGGAAGCTATGCTGGGTTAACTCCAATGGATGCATTATGTGAGCTAGAACACCAATGGTGTCTATGCTCCTTCCCTTAAAATGCATAGTACACAAAGGTCAGCCAAGTTACCTGGACATCTGTGGCAGAAGATCCCACAGGACCCTCAGTTTCTCCCGAATAGCAAATGATGTGTTGTCAAAGGCTTTCATGACCAGAATCACTGGGTTGCTTTGAGTTTTCCGGGCTGTACGGCCATGTTCCAGAAGCATTCTCTCCTGGTGTCAGGTCATCTAAACATACGAATCTGTGGGCCCTTCCAGAGAGGCCCTATATCCCAGGACCTGATCCAAGTTTTCTGTTTATCCCATATTATTTGGCAGTGAGGACACATATAATCCAGTTTAAAGCAGAAAACCTGGGATCAGATCATGGGATGTAGGACCTTTCTGGAAGGACCCTGTGATCATATCTTAATGGTGGAGCTGCAAATGATTAGCACGGAATTACAGTCTAAAACTCATACGTTCAACTCCTAGGCTACAAGAATCTCATTCTGCAACTCAGCTCTTTCTGCTGAGTCCCACAAAATACTTTGTTAATGCATGTTATCTATACACAGCATGTTATCTACATCACAGCTGTCCTTACCTCCAGTGAGTTTAAGACTAGTGCTTTGGCCTCCCAGAATTCCCAGCCCTGTAGTAGCAATGCTAGGGACGCAGAGAACTGTAGTCCAAGAGAACATGTCCACACACTATTCAAAGTCTAAAATCCTACATAGCTAGTTGGAAATGCAACTTCTGTAAAGTTTTCCTCTAAACCAGTGGTTTCCAACTTTTAGTCCTCCAGGTGTTTTGGACTTCCGCTCCCACAATTCCCAACAGTGAGAAGCTGGCTGGGCTTTCTGGGACTTGAAGTTCAGAACAACGGGAAGACCAAAGGTTGGGAACTACTGCTCTAAACTCGGCCCTTTCAGATGAACGGTAGCTACTCCAAAAAAGCATTGCAGTCCTGACTGCTGCTCTTTGAAGCTTGCTACAACTAAATCTTACGAAACAAGAACTCCCTTCGGCCACCAATAAATAAATAAGTAGATAGATAAATAAATATATCTAGGGGGCCTCCAAGTTGCAGATGTTCTCTGCACTGTTTTATCAGCCCAAAGCCTCTGTTATCTTTCTTCAAATCAGAAGCTAGATATCTATCACTAGTTAGTTTCTCTGGCAGCACAGAGGTTTCCCCACACAGAATATCGATCCCCAGACCCTCTTAGTTTGCCCACAGCCCTAGTTTAAACCTACAGGCAACCATTCTATATAAACACATCCAGGCAGTTACCAAGTCTCTATTTTCCACGAGAACTGTGGATTGTTTGGGATTTACTGTACTTCATAAAAGGGTGGGACAATCCACTACTAATACGTTCAACAACATTAAAAATTTCCAGTGCATTTTAAGTACAAAAATAGGACCTCTGCTAGGTAATGAACTATACATTGTGGAATGCTTATGAAGATATGGCTAGGAAAAGCCTTTCTGCAGAAGTCCTAAGACACATTTCTGAAGGAGTGCTTGGAATACAATGAGGACCAAGCCTCCTATTCTCCATATAATACCCTTCCACATTCAGCCAGTTCCAATTTCTGTCAGTTGAGAAGGCATTGCCATTTTGACACTAGCGAACGTTGTTGAAAACCTAATTACACTAAGTAACAAAATTTGAAAAAAAAATCTGTTTCTGGCTTGAAAGTGTTATTTCCTATTTAATTGTGCAGCACTTACTTTGAAACTAGTTTTTATACTCCAGAAACGTCGATTTTGTGGCTGCCACAAACTGTATTGAATTGGTTGAGACTCTTATCAGATATTCATTGAAAAACTATAGCAAAATGTGCTGTAGGATGTCCTGCAAAAACAGAGTTTTTGCAGTTTAATAAACCTTTTCCATGTATTTATGATAGAACCAATTAGGAAACAACGTTTATTACACAGAATCAAAAAATCATGTTACATTGTGTTATGATAGCCAGCTCCTTTCAATTTGATTTCCCTCTGCTTATTGGGAATCCCAAATTGTGCTGGTGAATCCAGAGAAAGCTTTTCCTGAAAACGGTAATGGGTGGCAAGCTGCTCTCCTCCCCTTAGTTACCACAATGTTTGTTTTCCTAGTTCTATGAAAACAGGTCAAAGTTCCCCAGTTCTCCTTTCTGCAAAGGAACACGAGCTTTGGTACAGAGATTTGGTTTAAACTTCACAGCAAGCCATAGTTTGCTTAACTATGATTTAGTATGATGTGAAAAGTGACAAACAGTAATCACCCTGGGTTGCTATAAGTTTTCCAGGCTGTATGGCCATGTTCCAGAAGCATTCTCATTGACATCACAGAAGCATTCTCATTGATGTTTCACCCGTTACGTAATCACTCTGCCTTCAGAAGTCAGTAGAAAACAATTGCAAAGCAGATGAAGAGGGGAAAACTAACAAACTAGTCTAAAGCAGGAATTGACAAGTTCCAGGACTGATTTTTGCTCCTGGACTCATAGTACAATAGTAAAAACAAGGTGCAGGGGGTTTCCATACCTTACTTGAAAGAAGAACTGACATTCACTTATAGCAATAGTTCTCAACCTGTGGGTCCCCAGGTATTTTGGCCTTCAACTCCCAGAAATCCTAACAGCTGATAAACTGGCTAATTTCTAGGAGCTGTAGGCCAAAACACCTGGAGACCCATAGGTTGAGCACCACTGCCCTAGAAGCAAAGAGTTATCTTGGCAGGAGGGCTTGAATCCTGCACAAACAGCCCTGTGGATCAAACATGGCCCCTGGACTGCATGATTGTCTATATTGTGCCCTATTGTCTATAGCACTGCTTCTTTAACTGTGAATCCTGACCCCAAATGGGTTCCTCTTAGCTTAATGTTGGGGTCATGAAAAATTTGGCAACAGTAAAAGATTTCTTAACACCAGCAATTTACACAAATCTGTTAGCAGCAACGTGGAGTGTTTACAGTGGACTCTGAAGAAGATGCTTCAGCTGTACTCCACAAAAAGGAAAATCAGCCTGTTTCGCAAGCTCGTTTATTTTTATACCCATTTCATATACAGCAGAGTTTTGCTTATCCAACATAAATAGGCCGGCTGAATGTTGGATCATAAGGAGGGATTAAGAAAATGCCTATTAAATGTGAAATTATGTTATGATTTTACAAATTAAGCATCAAAACATGTTTTACAACAAAATGACAGAATAAGCAGTTCAATACATGCTAACATTATGTGGTAATTACTGTATTTACGAATTTAGCACCAAAACATCGCAATGTCTTGAAAAAGATGTGGATCCAGGAGGGAGGCAGGCTGTGTTGGATAATACAGAACGCTGGATGAGCAAAAGTTGGATAAGCGAGACTCTACTGTACCTTTATACCTGGGGTCACGTAAAAATTTCTGGGGCCGAAAGGGGTTGTGACTGGGAAAAGTTTAAGAAGTCTTTGCCTGTAGTATGGCTTGTATGAATACATGTTAGCGAAAACCTATGGTTTGAGTTATTTCACAACAGTACATACAAACAGTACATAGCTTTGGTGGAAATTTGTACAGTCCAAGTGAAAATCCACACAACACACTTTAAAATGGCAAGTCTCAGTACAGAGACAACATACTGCCTTGCTGAGGCAAAATATGATCCTTAAACTAAGTAGTTCAGCCCTCAGGCAGCCTTTGTGCAGTTGAATCCACTGACCCAGGAGACAGAATATTCATCCTGTTTCCATGATGCCAGCTTCTGTTTGCCTCCCTCTACTGGAAACCTAATTATTACATCAGGAGTTTCTTTTAGGGGTAGCTTTTCCCCCCTAAAAGTACTCTGCAGACTTTGCCCTTTTTAACTTGATTGTTTCCATGTCAGCACTACTATCAGTGAAACTGAATCCATTCTCTTTCTCTCTCTGTCTCTGTCTCAATTCTGGCTGATACTAGAATGGCTCCTTGCAGTCTTTTCCCACAACTTTGTCATTGTTGTGTGCCTCTGAGTCCTTTTGCAAATCCTGGGAACCCTGAGGAGTACCTACATTTTATTTCTGGGTCGAGAGTGTATTATCCATCCAAGGTCACCCAGTGGGTTTTCATGGTCGAGTGGGAAATCAAACCTTGGTCCCCAGAGTAGTGTTCAACACTCAGACCACGACAAATGTGAATGTGAAATGTAGTCAGGTGTATAACTCTACACAGGGAAAGACTTGAGAAATACCGGACATTACAACATTTGTGTAGCAAAGGAAATGCAGCTCTGGACACTCATTTGAAGAGGGGGCTCTGGCTCTAGGAAAACCTACATAATAGTGGAAAGTTTATTGGAAGCACAAACCCGATTTGCTGCAAGATGGTTTCCATTTCGAACCACAACTGATTCTGGAGACTGGATCACTGCTGCCATTCAAAGCTTGTCAGTGTTTTACAGCCTGTCCATTTTGTTGTTGTTTATTCGTTCAGTCCCTTCTGATTCTTTGTGACCTCATGGACTGGCCCACGCCGGAGATCCCTGTCAGCTGTGGCCACCCCCAGCTCCTTCAAGGTCAATCCAGTTACTTCAAGGATACCATCCATCTATCTTGCCCTTGGTCGGCCCCTCTTCCCCTTTCCTTCCATTTTCCCTGTTGCCTTTTAGCAGTTGTTGAGATGCACCTCCCAGCATCCCCTTCTTGTTGGCTATGCTGGCCGATGCCACTGGGAATTTCACTTCTATAATAGTTGGAGCCCTATAAGATTCTCAGTACTGGTTTATCTGAATAGACATGTTATTTCATGTAAAAATTCTGTTGGCTTTTAACACCATCATCCCCTGACATTTTTATTTTGTGAAAGTTTTTTCCTTCATTGATCTTCCCAGGTGTTATCTAAAAAGGAACAGAGCTTTAAATGTAAGGAGACACCTTTCAAATAAAGACTTGTTTTTTAAAAAGTAGGGCAGGGACAGGAAAGTATTCCTAGCTGCCAAGAGTTACCACCGTCTCCAAACAGGACTGGTCAAATTTCTCATTCTTTCTGAAAGAAGGTGTTTCAACATGTCATGGTATGCTATTGAGAAATGGGCAACTATGAGATTGGTTTTTATTTTTCATTTCCTGCAATATGACAAGTGCTTCTTCAATTATTTGTGCAAGACACTTCTATCCAAAACTGGTCTCTTTCCCCTTTGATAAGCAAAGCACACATTGAGAAAACAAGCACAGAAGAACAGATTTACTGCTCAGAGTAATGCAGAAAACCCATCCACTGTCTCTACTTTTTAAAAGTCAATGGAATAAAGAGGGAACAATAGCGGCTTGCATAAAATATATTCATGAAAAGTGCACCAAAAAGTTTGGGACATAAATATGAATACAATCAGCCCTTCATATCAACAGATTCAACCACCCACAGTTTTAACCCCCCCCCCCCAAAATCCCCAAAACAAACCTTAACTTTTATATAAGGGACATGACTTAATTATATCATTGTGTGTGTGTGTGTGTATATGTGTATATATATATATATGTGTGTGTGTGTGTGTGTGTGTGTCAGGAGCGACTTGAGAAACTGCAAGTCGCTTCTGGTGTGAGAAAATTGGCCGTCTGCAAGGATGTTGTCCAGGGGAGGCCCGGATGTTTTACATCCTGTGGGAGGCTTCTCTCATGTCACCTGGAGCTGAGCTGGAGCTGACAGACAAGAGCTCACCCTACTTGCCAGATTCAAACCACCAACCTTTCGGTCAGCAGTACTGCCGGCACACGGATTTAACCCATTTCACCACCAGGGGCTCCATACTGTATATAATGGGACCTAACCATCCATATTGGGGAGAGAGTGGAACCTAACCCAAGTGGATACTAAGGGCTCATTATATTGCCTTCAAAAATTAGGGGATAATCTCACCATCCTGCTCTGTAAGTGAAGCAAAACTGTTTGGAGCTGCATCAATACTCCAAAGAAACACAGTTCGTTTGGTCAAGGAGCAACAGAACTTACTTTGAAAACCTCTCCATAAGAGCAGAGGACTTGTTCTTGTTGACAAGGGACAGCTCTTTGGCAGTGATCCTCAGAGAATGGGAAGTCCATTGCCTTCTATTAAATGGAGATGGCTCCATCTTGAAATGCAGCAGTAGCTAGAAAGGAAAAGAAAGACAAAAAAAGGACTCATTTTTACGCCACACACTCCTCTTCCCCCCCCAACTCCCTCCCCACAGCTTGACTTCTGAAATTCCCCTCATTCCACTGTCTCTAAATGACAGCAACTGCCCACTCTCAAGCTCTTAAAGAAAAATCCTAAGAAGTTTCACGATAGATTCCTTGCGAGATGCTTGAAATAATCTTAGTTTAAACGTTATGAAACCTGATCATGGCAACAACAACAAAAAAAACTACTCCCACCTTAGTGTCTGGATAATCTGGAAAATCTATTTTATTCTGGTATAATTTACGATGTGGATGTGTACTTACCATATATACTCGAGTATAAGCTGAGCTTTTCCAGCCCTTTTTTAGGCTGAAACAGCCCCCCTTGGTCAAGGTTATTTATTATTTCACTCTGTTGTTATTATTATTATTATTATTATTATTATTATTACATTAATTATTTAACACTATTTATTATTATTATTACATTTACATTATTTTACTCTATTATTTATTATTATTATTTTGTTCTATTATTATTACATTGATTATTTTACTCTATTATTACTGTTACCATATTTCCATTATTTTACTCTAATATTATTATTTTTATTACATTGATTATTTTACTCTTATTATTGGAAGGATACGTAAGCACATTTACATTGAAGAAGGTTAGAATAATGGTGATGTACTGTGAGCTCAGCCTCATGTAAGCCGCACCGAGTCCCTTGGGGAGAGGGTAGTGGGGTATAAATAAAGTATTATTATTATTATTATTATTATTATTATTATTTAATCAGAGATGGACAGTCTTATCTTAAATTACAGTTTTATGTAAATATTCAAAAACATTTAACATACTGATGCCTCAGTTAATATAATTTTATTGGTACCTATTTTTATTTTGAAATTTACCAGTAGCTGCTGTATTTCCCACACTCGGCTTATACTCGAGTCAATAAGTTTTCCCAGTTTTTTTGTGATAAAATTGGGAGTATATATGGGTAGACAACGTGATACTGAATACTTCCATAGTAAATGTGTATGCTTCTTCCTGTTATAAATATTCTCTCCTGGTCACCTTCAAGAAACTAGCCTAGAGGGTGTGCAGTGATATTAGTAGTTATAAAACCTACACATGCTAGTGCAAAGAGAGGCAGCCAGATTACTAACTGGGGCGAGCTTTAGGGAGCATGCCACCCCCCTTTTAAAGCAGCTCCACTTGCACCCAATAAGTTTCTGGGACCAATTCAAGGTGTAGGTGATTACCTATAAAGCCTTATACGCTTCGGGTCCAACCTATCTTTGAGACCGCATCTCCTACGAACCAGTGCAGGCATCAAGATCTGCTGGGGAGGCCCTTCTCTCAGTCCCACCACTGTCTCAAGCTCGGTTGGTGGGGACGAGAGAGAGGGCCTTCTTGGTGGTGGCTCCCCTCCCTAAGGAAATTAGATTAGCCCCCTCTCTCCAGGTCTTCCAGGTGAGTCTCAAAACATGGCTATTCAGACAGGCCTTTGATCCTGAGTAATTCATGGAAAGCTTAGAGAAGACAATGATGCTGGGGAAAGTGGAAGGAAAAAGGAAGAGGGCCGACCAAGGGCAAGATGGATGGATGGTATCCTTGAAGTGACTGGCTTGACTCTGAAGGAGCTGGGGGGTGGCGATGGCTGACAGGGAGCTCTGGCGTGGGATGGTCCATGAGGTCACAAAGTGTCGGAAGTGACTAAACAAATAAACAACAACAATCCATGGCCAATGTGATGAATCATTGATAGTACTGGCCCACACTCCAATTGATTGTTATGACAGATAGCTTGCCAGGAGATCTCACTGCATTTTAGGAATTTTATAATTTTCAATTTTTTATAATTTTATTAATGAGATTTTTATGCACTGTTATTATACTCATGTCATTGTATTTATAGTTATGTATTGTTGTCTGCATGTGGCACTTGGAGTGCTTCTATGAATCGCCCCGAGTCCCTTTGGGGAGATGGTGGCAGGGTACAAATAAAGATGATGATGATGATGATGATGATGATTATTATTATTATTATTTGTAGAATAACCCCATCTAGTTATAATTTAAATGCAACCCTGCTCATTAAACATCGTTTTCATCAGCCTGCCCTACATGAAGAAAGCCAGTCACCTTGTCCCAGGTCTTAACTTCAGTTTCAAAAAGCAGTTTCAAAGGTCTTGACAGCAGCAAGACCCTGTTCATACCAAATCCTGAAACTGGTTTTTCTGCTTTAGTAGCTTGGGAAAGTGACCTAGCCACTGAATCCATCTGGGAGGAAATTGCACACACAGACACAGAAAGAGAGAATGACCAGAGGGACAAACACTCCTTCTGTTCTTTGACACTGAAAACCCCACGAGGGCATAGATCCTCGTGGATAGGCATATAGCAGAATGGCAAGAGGAAGCGCCAAGTCTCTGTTAGCTCGCTTTGAAGTCATTTAGGCAAAACTAGACCTCCCTGAAGCAGTCATCTGCACTCACCCTCATCTGCCCTGTTGCCAAGTCAAGTAGATAAAGAGGGGTCTGAAGAAAAGAGTAGAGCAAAGGACTGAAGGGTGGAGTTAGTCCAACTCCTCACTTGTATGTGCCCCCTTTAATGCCCAAACTAGAAACTCCTGCTGTTTGTGATTCAGGCAGACATAAAGACAAACAGGGCTAATTTGCCCTAAACTGGAAAGAAATTATAGGCTGGAATATCTTGAATGCCATCATATTTAATTTCATGCATGCCAATCTTTTCTTTTCTATATTGACATGCCACTCTGCTGCTCCAAACACACACACAATGTATTTCTCACTCTCTGACCAATAAGCTTAAACCGTATACAAACAAACATCCCTCCACAATCCATCTTTATGGCAACGCTGTGAGATATGTTGAGCCAAAAGATAGTGACTGGGAGAAATTTACCCAAGGAATGCCATTACTCATTGGGAACAGGACTCAGACTTCCCAGTTCCTAGTACAACCAGTGGTTTCCATGAAGGTGAGACAGTGCATCCATTGCCATTTTAGTTCAAAGCTTAAAACAAACTATTCAAGTTGCTGGACCCCAAATGGGCCCCTCTTGGTCTGCATATATCCCCCAGATACATTCAGACCAACATCCAACATTGTTTCAGACATAATCCCCACTGACATTAGAGCACAACACATAAAACATGATCCCATACTGTTTGACATTGCCAACCATTAAACCACTTGGTTGTCGTTTGTATTCATAGGCCACTAATGCCAAACTTGGGGGGCCCTGGTGGCATAGCAGGTTAAACCGCTGAGCTGCTGAACTTGCTGACCGAAAGGTTAGCGGTTCGAATCCAGAGAACGGGGTGAGCTTCTGCTGTTAGCCCCAGTTTCTGCCAACCTAGCAGTTTGAAAACATGCAAATGTGTGTAGATCTATAGGTACCGCTTCTGCAGGAAGGTAACAGCGTTCCATGCAGTCATGCTGGCCACATGATCTTGGAGGCGTCTAGGAGCAACGCTGGCTCTTTGGCTTAGAAATGGAGATGAGCACCACCCTCAGACACAACTAGACTTTAGATTGTAAGTCGCTCGGAGCACCTTGGTGGAGAACGACTAATTAAGAAATAAAGTGAAGTGAAGTGAAGTGAAGACTTAATGTCAGGGGAAACCTTTACCTTTAATGCTAAACTTGGAGATGAGAACAAACTGATACAAGAAGAGTTAAAATCAAAGTCACTAAACAGGCAGGAACAGATATCCAGTGCATGGACACAGAGAAAATGCTCTTACATCCTGAAATGTATACTGTGTCTTTCCTCCCCTTGTTAAACCCTATACGTTTGTGCATATTTCAGGTGATTTCTGCATTTTATTGCTTGTAAAACAGAAATTGCCAGTTGATTGCAGAGTGGAAGAGGGAGGCAGGGAAACAAGATGAGAAACATGGTGTATATTTTAGTACTAGGGAAACTTTGTGTTCTCAGAGGTCAGTCACTAGAACACACTGGCCCACACTGAAGACTGGGAGTGGGACAGGTTTTTCCTTATGAGCCTCATTAGGAAAAAAAAATAGTTCTCCTATCATGTGGTAACCAGCTCAGGAAATACAAAGAGCCATAAAGTACGATCACGTTGAGCCCCCCTAGGCCAAATACAACTGAGAAGAACAACTTCTACCTAGCAGCACAGAAGGCCTTATGTAAACAGTATAATCATAAATACTATGGATTTGAGTTGTTAACAATATAAGAATTTAAAATGAAATGTGAAGAAGCATTAATTCCACCCCCCACCCCCCTATTTCATTATACTGTATATACTTATAGATAATTCCTGAAATTTCAGTAAAAAGAAAGCAGCCCCCATAACGGGTCAACTTATCTGCTGATCAATACAAGTACTGTAACTTTTTAGCAAAAACAAAACCATCTCTTCCCTGAGTAGAGTAGCAAAAAGTGAGAGCTTAGTCCATCCTGGGAGAACCTAAAATAACCACCACCCCCATCACTATCCCCAATCTTTCTGCTGCGGCTCCATTTATGACCTTCTGGGTGGAAAATGGGGTAAGTGGCCAGAGGTGAGTGGCCCAGAGGTGGCACTAGCCCTTTGCCCTCTCCATGGAGCGACCCTTAACTTATCACATTAAAAGCCATAATTTTGTCCCACTAAATGTGGCCTCAACTTTCACACAAATATACACAATAGTAACAGAAAATGCATAATATGGCCACACTTTCTTTTTCATTTTCCTCCTAAATACTGCCAGCATGGAAATCCCTCAAAAGCATCCAAACAGATAATGGAAGTGATATGTGAGACAAAAGGCAGGCCTGTGTCCCTACAGTTATTACTTTTCTTCTTCTTTATGCTTTTAACAGGTTTGTCTGATAAAGAAGCCAGTGAAACTTTGAAGCATTGCATGAAGAATCCAACCAGTCCATACTTCAGGAAATAAAGCCCACTGGAGGGAAAGATGGTAGAGGCAAAGATGAAGTAC